AAATATTAAAAATAAAATGTTAACAAGCCACAATAACATTGACAAATTAAGTTTTTTTATTTTAATCTACAATCGTAAAATTTTTAGGTTTGCACAAGATCATTTATTGAATAAGATATCGTCTAAAACTCTTCGTCAACGTGAAAAATTAAAACAACGGGTATTTAGATACTATGAATGTATGTATGTATGTCAAATCGAACTTTCTGATACTACTTTTTGTCTATTTCCGCGGTGCGCGTATCTAGGAAATTTCACTTTCGACTGTGTAACCAGACATTTGTTTGCGCATATCAATATTAATGATTTGAAAAATATAATAAAAATTAAAAAGTTTTAAATTAAAAGTTTACTTCTCCAAGCACCTTCGCTTGAATCGTGCTAGCGAAGCAGTCAATGGCACTGTGAATATTCTTCGAAATTATAGAGAAAATGCTGATATATTTTCAAAAGTTCCCTATATCGCTAAGGAATTGGATTTTGACATTGTCCTTCCTCGGAGAGCGAATAGACAAAATTTTCGGGCTAATTATCGTGCGTCTAATGCTAAAGATTATTATCGAAAGGCAATATTTATACCGCTATTGGATAATATTTTGCTCGATCTCCGTGAAAGATTGCCGAAAGAGACATTAAACATTTTTGATTTGAACTTATTACTTCCATCTAAAATTGGAGAATATAATACGCCTGACGAAAAAATAATGCTATCGAACGCGTAAAACCGCCTGGAAAACGATATAAACTTTTCTTAGAAAAAGGCGGTATCAATTTGGAAGGAGAGTATAAAGTGTGGTTGGAACGATGGACAAATAAGGAAAGCGAAAAGTCATTTCCAAAATCAGCAGCAGAACTTCTTGGTAAATGCGACGAATATGCTTTTCTATTGATTAACAAACTACGCATTCTGGTCACACCTTCAGCTAGTAACGCTACTTCCGAAAGAAGTTTTTCAACCCTTCGCCGGTTAAAAACATGGTTGCGTAGTACCATGAATGAAGAAAGTCTGATGGGTCTAGCACTTTTACGCGTACACTTATATATTGAAATTGACACTGAAGGGATAATAGAAAGATTCGCAAAATGAAAGCGCAAAACTTAATTTGCAATTTAAATTATTACAATAAAAATTCTGAATAAGTTGTTAAGTTACTTAATTACATCCTTCATTTTACCAACATTGTAAGCAAGAAATAAGTATTTATATGTATATATTGCATTATTATACCCAAGGTATAACTTAACATCTTGTTTTTTCTTTTAAATAGTACATGCAATTGTTTTATTAGACCTTGCACCAAATTCACAAAATGAAAAGTAATATTATATCACAATACACTTTATTTCAAACTTCATAAAAAATACTCGAACCCATGATACAAAAAAGAAGGTAGTTTCATTGTCACTTTTCAGACGCCATATTAACTACCTGACAATTAAGCAGATTGTGACTTTTCGTGCTGCCATGCCTAGTCCTCAACAATCATTTATTTATTGTAAAAAAATATATATTTACAAAATTAAAAGGAAATTTGTCTTCGATATGTGCAATAAGGAAAATTGAAATTCATGATATGATAAATATTATAGTTCTGGACGATAGGAGGTACTCCCGATTTAACTGGTACTCATCAGAGTCTGGAAGTAAGTAGTGCGTTAAGTGCAGCTTGGCCGTCACGTAAACTCCTTCCGCTCCGCTATTTTCCACCACGTAGTCCATATCCTTGAGGACTGCAAATACCTCAGCCTGGAAGACCGAAGCATACTTGCCAAGAGAAAAGTTAATCTTATCCCCATTAACTCCGATAAAGACCTCAGATCCTGGCCCAGTGTCAGTTTTGGAGCCATAAGTGAATATTCGATTATGTGTGAGTCCGGGCTCAGTGCTGGTATTAAACCTGCATTCGGCCTCAGGAAACTCAACACTATAGAATCTCTTCAACAAAGGTAAAGGTGGCGTACTATCCTGTCGCATTGAAAAGACACAAGTGCTCACTTCTCTGCCACTAGCAATTTCCGCCTGGTCCCACTCAGTGTTATACCAGCATCCCTTTCTTTTTAGTCTGCAGGTGGTCTTTAAGGCTTCCCCACGTATGAAGTACAAAGTCACGGAAAGTGCAGCAGTTCATTAAGAGCAACGCCACGCAGAGAAATCTTTCGTACCGCACACGGCAGTAGTTCTTTGAAGTTTTGCAAGCAGACTTCCCACTGACGCATAGCTAATTATGGGTCTGATCATATAGGTATAAATCCAGAGGATTCCCTTGGTGGCACACTCCACGTTTTACCAAAGACCAGTTTACATTGCCAAAATGCCGCCCATTCTATAGAGGTTTTGTGTTAGATTTCCACGGGTTTGCCAATTAACTGTCAACCTGTGCGGACGTGTTTTTTTAATCGCTCCGCCGAGAAATTAATAATAATTCACGTAAAGCAAAGAAAAAAACAGAACCAACGCGAAAAGACAATACTAGCCATAAATAAGCTTCTGCTTATTTGCCTATAATCATAAATAACTTATTCAGAATTTTCGCAATGCCGCGAGAAATTCAAATAAATGTGCCAACATACAATAAAATAAAAGCAGCTCCGGCCCCACCGCGCTTAGCGAATAGTAGTGAAACAAGCACGAAGTGCAGTGAAATAAACCTAGCCGTAACAGAAGCTGACCAAAAGCATTCAGCTGATCGACGAAATGCTTACTTTTCGTTCGTTTCCCCCACAAACAATGCTGATCGCGATAAATCGCTCTCTCCCTCCCCCCAAACACCTTGGCATGCACAGTCGCCAATGTCTCTGGTAGACCAAGTTGTTCTAACGCAACAACAAAGCACTAGCTTAGCAACAAGCACAGTAACAACAGTGAGCGCAGCTCTCACAACAACGACTACAACCACGACTTCAGCAATGACAGCGGTTTCACAACGCAGTTCACCCACATCTGCACAAACGGCAATTTCGGCACCAGCCGAAGCCAAGCAACGCAGCTCAGCGCAAGTTGACCTACTTAATCCAACAACCCGTACATTGACTCAAACGGGTATTGATAGGTATATACAAGTCAAACGAAAATTAAGCCCACAGCAGCAAAAAATTGCAAACCCATCAAAAATTGCAAAAACGAAAACCACTGACATTAACCCTCTACTGGGAAATAAGTTTGCGATTCTGGACAAATAATCTGACAAAGAGCCGAATGAAGTTTCTAAAGCCAAACCCACACCGCCCCCAATTTATTTACGAGAGCAACACTGTAGTGAGCTCGTGAATAAATTAACTCAGCTTATTGGAGACAATACGTTCCACGTAACGTCAGTTACCAAGGGCAGTATTAAAGAGACCAAACTTCAGATTCTAACTGAAGAAAATTACCAGTTGGTAACCAAACATCTTAATGAAGATAAGACAAACTTCTATACGTACCAGCTCAGAAGCAGCAAAGGACTGCACGTAGTAATAAGAGGTATAGAATCAAGTGTACCCATTGGTGATATTGCTCATGCTCTAGAGAAGGCAGGATTTTCTGTTAAAAATGTTGTCAATATTATCAACAGAGCAAAAATCGCTCAGCCTATGTTTAAGGTAGAACTTAAGCCAGAAACAAAGCCAATGAATAAAAACGCAGTGCACCCAATCTACAATCTACGATACCTTCTACACCGAAGAATAACAGTGGAAGAGCCGCACAAGCGAAACTGTCCCGTACAGTGCACAAATTGTCAAGAATTTGGGCACACCAGAACATACTGTACCTTGCGCCCAGTGTGTGTTGCCTGTGGCGATCTTCACGCTTCCGCTTCTTACAAGGCTATCAAAGATGATGTGGCTGTAAAGAAATGCAGTAATTGCGGAGGGGATGCCCTGTATACAAAGACTTAAAGTCTCGTATGAATCAGCGCAACACAGCCGTACGCTCTTCCACCACCCCAATTACCTCTTATACATACCAACACCTCACACCATCAACCACTACAGCAGGAGCCTTTTTTGCCAATGCGCAGCGAGTTCCCAACGTTTCTTTTGCCGACGCATTAAAACTACAAACGCAGCCAAGCACGGCGAAATCAAACTCCAATCAAGAAACATTTGCAAATATTCAAAGGAATAATACTGAGCAAATGCAGCGGAACCCCCTACTTGTACTTGGCATAGAAGGAATGATTTTGAATCTTACTCATTGTATGACTCAATTCATGTCTACTATGCAAAATATGATTCAAGACCTCATAAAGGCTCAAAACCAATTGTTGCAAATTTTAGTGAATAAAAAATGAGTGAATTGAAAATTTGCATATGGAATGCTAACGGTGAAACCAGCGTAGATTAGAACTCAGTCAATTTCTCACTGAATACAACATAGATGTTATGCTACTGTCCGAGGCACATTTAACAAATAAATATAATTTCTCCATACCTGGATACAAATTCTATGCCACAAATCACCCAGATGGTAAAGCTCATGGAGGCACAGCGGTGCTGATTAGAAATCGTCTAAAGCACAATATTCTAGAGTCAAAAGCAACAGCCTGTCTGCAAGCAACTACCATATGCTTACGAAACCGCGACCGAGACTTGAATCTATCGACTATTTATTCAATTTCTGAAAATTACTTTAAAGATTTCTTTGATAGCCTGGGTAATAGATTCCTTGCAGGAGGCGACTTCAACGCAAAGCATACGTACTGGGGATCATGCCTTATTAACCTAAAAGGGCGGCAGCTATACAATACCATTATAAACAGGCACAATAGACTAGAGGTCACATCTCCTGGTAAACCTACTTACTGGCCCACCGATATACAGAAGATACCAGACCTAATAGATTTTGCAATTACAAGAAACATATACAAAAATAACATAACATCAGAAACTCTACCTGAACTATCATCCGATCACTCTCCTAAATTAATAAAACTATATGAACAGACCCAAAATATCGAAATTGTGTCTCGTCTAACTTCAAATAAAACCAACTGGATAAAAATATGAAAAGTACATCAGTAGTCACCTTAAATTAAACGCTGCACTTAACTGCGAACGTGATATAGACTCCCTTGTTGAACATTTCAAAGAAACCTTTACTTCAGCCGCTGGCCTGGCAACACCAAATCAAGTCCAAGTACCACCTACGCATACATCAGTTACAAATACCGAAATAGAAAAACTTGTGGCAGAAAAGCGGCGCCTAAGAAGACAGTGGCAGAGCCATCGCTCACCAACCTCACAGATACTGTATAAAGCTGCGGGTAGAAAACTGAAACAAGCACTCCAACGTGCAGAGGATCGTAACTTGCAAAGGTACATTAAGAAGCTTTCCCCGAATTCTACTGAAGGATACTCTCTATGGAAATCGCTAAAATACTTCAAACCACCAGTGGCTACAGAAATGCCAATTAGGAACCAAAGTGGAACCTGGGCTCGTAGTGAGAAGGAGAGAGCCGAGTGTTTTTCACACCATTTAAAGAATGTATTTCATCCAAACTGTCCAACGAACAACTTCAGGCTGCCCCGGCTAACCAAAAATACAAATGAGCTATACACACCTAGCAAGACGAACTCTTTAGAAGTAAAAGCTATAGTAAAGCAGCTTAATCCAAAGAAATCGCCGGGTGCTGATTTTATAACTCCGAAAAGGCTAATAGAGGTATCGAATGTTGCACTAGCAATTCTTTCTGACCGGTTACTTTCCGAAATTATGGAAAAGGTCGAAGATAATCATGATAGCCAAACCTGGAAAAGACGCAACACAGCCGTCCTCATACAGGCCAATAAGCTTACTGCCCTGTCTTTCCACAGTATTCGAAAAAGTACTCCTATCAAAGATATCTCCCTTTCTCCATGAACGCAATTTAATACCAGCACACCAATTTGGCTTCCGAGAAAAACATGGTACAATTGAACAAGTTAATCGAATTACAAATGAAATCAGAAGGGCATTTGAGCTCAGAGAGTACTGCTCTGCAATTTTTCTCGATGTGGCACAAGCATTCGACAAAGTGTGGCACGACGGTCTTATATATAAATTTAAAAAATTGTTGCCGCCGGAATTCCACAAAATATTTGAATCATACATAACTAACAGAAAATTTGCTGTTAAAGTATCTAATTTCACTTCAGAAGACATGTCGATAACGGCTGGCGTTCCTCAAGGTAGTGTACTCGGGCCTATGCTGTACATCATCTACACTTCAGATATTCCAACTAGCAAGAATATACTCACATCCACCTTCGCTCATGATACCGCCTTAGTAAGTCGTAATAAATGTCCCAACAGAGCTTCAAGAGTACTAGAGGAACATTTACTACGCATAGAAGAATGGCTGGCAAACTGGCGCATAAAAGTCAACGAACAGAAGAGTAAACATAAAACATTTTCACTCAGACCGCAAGTATGCCCCCAATCAAATTAAATAATGTCCATATTCCACAAGCCAATGAGGTGACATATCTAGGAATAAACTTGGATAGGAGACTAACTTGGCGCAAACACATATCAACCAAGACTACACAAATGAAGCTAAAGTCAGCTAGCGTGAACTGGATTATAAACAGTAAATCAAAACTGAAACTAGATTATAAAGTGCTTGTATATAATACAGTCATTAAGCCTATATGGATGTATGATATTCAACTGTGGGGTACGACCTGTGCAACCAACATTGACAGGATCCAAATATTCCAATCTAAAACGCTAAGAGCCTTAACGGGAGCACCGTGGTATGTCCGCAATGAAAATATACATAGAGACCTTGGTATACCGATGGTTAAATCTGTAATCGACAGCAGCAGAGAAAAGTACAAAATAAAACAACGTAACCACCCAAATCCACTGGCAAGTGGCCTGTGCAACACAACAAATATAACACGCCTGCGAAGAAGAGATCTACCAGCCTTTCATTGAGCGACGTTAAACCTACAGGGCTCAACCGCAGGGTTTGAGCTACATTATTGTAAAATTAGACGTAAGATTTTTAAACTTGTTGTTAGGCTTAATAGATGTAAAATAAGCAGATCCAAGAAATAAATGCAAGTATAATTAAAAAATAAAAATAAAAAAAAGATTTCCACGATAGTTTTGTATCCAGAGTTACTTATAGATACTTCACTTCCGGATAATTCTAAATTGTGACTCCTTTCATTGTGAGGGCAATGAGACCATTCAACCTTCTCCGAATCCTGTTTTCGGACTATGCTTTAATGACGAAATATCTAACAATATATCTTCTTCGGACTATTTAACAAAAAAAAAGTTTTGTTATGTAAATTTATTTATTTAGTTTAAAATAAAATGAAAACAGCTTTTTAACAAATAAATGTTTCAAAACTAGATTTTGTTTTATTTCTTCATCTCTGCACATCGATATTATTCAAAGGATTTTTTAAACGCTTGAGAAAAACGTTCAAATTTGACTATCGAACACATCAACTTACTATTGTTTGTATGTAAATTTTACTCCCAAATATTTAAAAGAAAATCTCCTCTATCAAAAAACTTCAATGTGGCAATTCTATGCCTACTGTTTACATCTGGATAAATGTAAAAAATCTGCTTTATAATCAAAAAATAGTAGTAGTAATGAAACTACCTTCTTTTTTGTATCATGCTCGAATCTATATTTGCATTTAAAATAAATTAGGGTTGGAAGCCTGTAATTTAACGTTATTTGACAAGTTGATCCCAATCGCTACTACGCTACTACGGACCAGTACCATAGGATACTGCACTTCTGCCTTGCCTATATAAGTAAAAAACTACACTAACAAATTATACGCACAAAGACAGAATGAATTACAACAAACACATCAGTTTGACGTTATGCTTTCCGCGGCGAAAAATTCAGCTGGCTTCAGTTTTCGACGTAACTTTACTTGAAAATTTGCTTAAATCTTAACTTTTTTTAACTCGGTCAAAGTCCGTTATAGTTATTTTACTAAACTTTTGCACGTGACTATTTTAAAAAATAACCTTCACTATAAAAAAGTAGTTACGTTCAAAATTTTGGCCCTTATTATGAGTTGCATTCGATTTTCGATCTTCGCTGGTTATTGAAGATCGAAAGTGAAATTCGTATTATGAGCTATACAAGCGTGTTGTTGTTGTTGTTGTAGCGGCTACAACAACCCCGCCCAGCTCGGTTAATATCTCAGTCGTTGTCGTCAAGTTCCACTAACGACAGCCC